ATGGAAGCCTGGACAATGACCCTCTGCAGCAGAGACTTAGTACTGTGGCGAAACAAAGAGAGGAGTTGCAGAGAATGGAGACTGAGCTTCGGGCTCAGCTTATTGCTAAGTCTGAGATTTTGGAAATGAGGAATACCTTTGATGCTCAAGTCAAAGAACACTCAAATGCCAATGCTAAGCTTCAGGTTCGTACAGTAGTGTACAAGTATTCATATGGGTATTTTAACACTGTTTTCTTACTAAGACTGTATGGGTATAAATGGATACTTGTGTTTGGTTTTTTTTTGTTTTTTTTTTTTTTTGTTTGCTAATGGGATGTGTGTTTTCTTTTAATTGGATTTCATGGTTATGAAGGAGCAACTGCGTGAAAGAGAGCAGAAGATATATGAGTTGGAAAGAAGAATGGAAGAGAAGGAAAGGGAGTTGCATGCAATAAGATTGGACAATGAGGCGGTTGGTTTGAAAATATGATTATATGTTATTCGCTGGGGCTGGGTTTGAAATTTTGGTTTTTTTTCATGAATCTTTTATTAAATCTCATGTTTTTTCATTTACCTTAGCAGGCTTGGGCAAAAGAGGATCTACTTAGAGAACAAAGCAAAGAACTGCAAACTTACAGGTATCACATGTGTTTTTAATTGGATGTCATGTAGCCATGATAATGTCTTTTTAACTGATACAACTATATGGGGTGATGGGTTTGTATTTCATCATATGTACTTTATTTAGTGACAAATTTCAGGTTTTGATGGATTTGATGTGAGTTTTTGAGTGATATTCCAACTTGTTAGTAACCTGTAGTTAGTAATTAAGTTTAAAATCCAAAATCATCTGAGTTTCAAGATTGTCTACTGTGATTTGTAGTGATATAATCTAATTTAGGCTAATGGATTTGTAGGAGAGAGAGAGACAATTCTGAAGCTGAAAGAAACCAGTACATTAAACAAATCCATGAGCTTCAGGAACATATTCAAGAGAAAGAGCGGCAGTTCATGGAATTACAAGAACAGGTTGGTTTCTCTCCACAGTTTTAGATGGAATTTCATCAGTATTAGTATGGTAACACTTGTTTAGGAGCTATATATCATTATATCTAGAATGGTATAGATGTTATATGCCTAGTCTGACCAGTTTTATTTTTCATCCTTCAGAATAGAATTGCTCAGGAGACCATTGTTTACAAAGATGAGCAAATGAGGGAGGCCCAGGCTTGGATGGGTCGAGTTCAGGAAATTGATGCTTTGCAGCAAGCTGAAATACGTGAACGAACAGAGCAGTGCAATCAGCTTTGGCTTGGTTGCCAGAGACAGGTATTTTAGCTTCACTTTTTTTTGGGCTTACACTGATTTTTTTTGTTTTTTTTTGTTTGCGTATTCTCTGCAAGGATTGTGTTTGAAGAGTGTTATTGGCCTATATGGCTCTTGTCCGCAAGTTCTTTTCTCCATGATGTTGCTTTTTGAATGGTCTTTTGTTTAATTTGGTAAAATATTATGCAGTGTAATTTTTTAATAGAAATAGGGGTGTAATTTGGTATTAGGTATTAAACATTTCCCATTATAGGCTGCTGAGATGGAGCGCCTACATCTGCATATACAACAGCTCCAGATAGAATTGACAGAGGTTAGAGAAAGGAATGGCACCTTCTCTGATGGTTCTCAAGTCTCTAAAGCAAATTTAAAAGATGCTACTCAGATTGGGAAGAGTGCTAACAACCAACTTTATGAGAGTGGAAATGATGCCCCTGGTGGAAACTCTGGCAACCTACCCAATGGAAATGATGAAAATTCTTCTTCATTTGCTGCAGTGAATGTTTCAACTCAGGTAGAACTTCCCCTTTTAATCATTAGTATTCCATTCATTCTGGATTTCTTTGAAAGTGCAGTTATAATAATTTATGTTTGTTTTAAATACCAGAATGATCATATCCATGGTCTTCCACTTGCTCCTTCATCCTTACTTGGGATGCCAACCTACATCCCTCCAGGCCAGATTACTGCATTGCATCCTTTTGTCGTGCATCAACAGGGTATTCCCCCTTCTGTACCTCAATCTCATGTTGTTCATTTTCACTCTGTGCCAGCATCTGCAATGCCGTCTCTCCAACAATGGCCCAACCAACAGGTAGTTTCAGATGAATATTTATAGTATCCAATCTATGAGTATAGTTGCGTGGCTGTTGGTTAGCTTGCTTTTCTTTTTCTTTTTTTGTTCAAGGTTATGTCGGAAGGTTCACAGTTGTCCTCTCACAACCAATCTCCTCTCCAAACTGACTCAACCTTGTTGAGATCTAATTCTAGTTACCAGTACGAAGCATCTGTCAATGGGAATGCAATTCATTCAGATTATATGGATGCCAATATTAGCCAAGAGATTGAACCAAAGGATTCTGTAGCTCATTCCAGTGAAGGGGGGCAGCAGGTAAGCAGATCAGCATGGCGGTTTATAGGTGTAGTGTATATCTTATCATGTAGTTTTCTTGATTCATCTTAAATTTTTGTACAGGTTCCTCAATCTGTTGATGAGAACTACCTTCCTGATCCTCAAACTCAGTCTTCTGTGCAACACATCTCTTCCCAGTTTCATGATGGTCTAAGGCTGGATCCTCTCGAACAAAATAATGAATTTCAGGTATTTTCTTTGAATTGAAATTCCTACATTGTTTTTAATTAGGGATATTTGTAGCATTGTTAGATTGTCTTAATGCTTTTTTTAAATAGACAGGTTTATTTTATGTCCTTCATAACTGCTTTGCAGGGGAAGAATGTGAACTCTTCACCTATTCCTGTGCTGGAGTCCCAAGGATTGATGACAGGAGAAGTTAGCTCTGCTGCTGATAAATTGCCATCTAATGTTCCAGAGCCAGCAAGTAACTTAAATGAGAAAGTAACGAATTCCAACTCTAACGCTGCTATACCTGAAACTTTGGTTGCTATGGGCCAGAAAAATGCGTATGCTGCTGCTAAAGCTGTGGAGCCTACTCTACTTGATGAACAATCATTACTAGCTTGCATAGTTCGCACTATTCCACCTGGCTCTAGTGGTCGAATTAGGATTAGTTCAACGGTTAGTTACAATGAGTGAATTCTTTTCTTTAGGTTTCATAAAGCATTATATTTTTGCTGCCAAAATGATTTCATGATTAACATTTGTTCTTTGTGATGCTCAGCTCCCAAATAGGCTTGGAAAACTGCTTGCACCCCTGCACTGGCATGATTACAAGAAGAAGTATGGGAAACTTGATGACTTTGTTTCGAGTCACCCTGAAGTATGTGCATGCTTTTTGTAATTGTGCTGATTTCTGATGGTATTCCTAGTACTAATCTTGATTTTTTACTTTCAGTTATTTGTGATTGATGGGGACTACATTCAGCTTCGAGAAGGAGCTCAAGAGATCATAGCAGCCACAGCGGCTGTGGCTAAAGTTGCTGCAGCCACTGCAGCACCATCAGTATATCCATCACGTATACATTCTGTTGCTGTTACTCCCATGGCTCAGTCTCACAGGTTGAAGAAGACTGCTGATGACATTTCTCAGTTGATGGCAATGCAAAGTCAGCATTCCAATGGTGCCTACAGTGCTGGAGGGGGCATTTCAAATGTGAAAATTTTGGCAAAACCCAGAGGTCCAATGGAGCTGAATGCCTCTGAAACTAGGGATGCATCTTCTGTACCACATGCAGTGGGTAATGGAATTAACTATGACAAAAATGATTTGTCCACTTCTCACAGCAAGGGATCATCTCATGGGAGAACTAGTCTGAATGCACATGGCTTACAGCAGGGCAGGTATTTGACAGTTGCTACACACACACACACACTATATGTATAGTTTTATGACGTGCTGGAGTATGTAGAACAATTGACTAACATCTTAAGATGAATTGCATTTCTGTCAGGATCACTGCGGTCTCATCCAACTCACGAAGATAGTAAGTTCTCTCTCTATTGTTGACATATGTTCATTCCATTGCTCACAGCCAGATTTCTTCTGGTTTATTCACTCAAACTATCAGCATAATTCTACACCCCCCACCCCCCACCCCCCCCCCGCCCCAAAAAAAAAAAAAAAAAAAAAAAAGCTTTTTACTACATGTACTCCCAAATCTTACTTTCTCAATTTTACTCCCTGATGTGTCGGGGGTGAGAGAAAATTGGGAGTAGAAAATGGGAGTACACAACATTTTCCAAAAAAAAAAGAAAAGAAAGAAAGAAAACCATGAAATTTGTTAAGAGGGTTCGTTTATCGTGATGGCCACCTGCTTTTATAGTCGTTTCACTGCAATTTTGTTTGTCCATATGAGTGATGAAATGTATGGTGATATGGCAGGACATGGTTTGTGGTAGCCACTTGGAAGATTGTACATGGGATTGAAATCACGGGTTGACGAGATGAGATTGGATGGTTGGTTTTATATTACAGAATGGAAACATTGTCTGATGAGTATGATTATTTCCCATTTTGTTGGGGATCATACCCTACTTATTATTTTATGGTGGGTGTACTGTATTTTTTTGGGTATAGAAGGGATGTGTATTCAATTGCTCAAAGGTGGTGACATTGATGCGAATAGAATGTTTTTGGAAAGAGAGCTTAGCTAGCTTGCTGCCTAATGTTCAATTTCTCAATGCATTTATCCTGCTTTCTATTTATGTAAACAAATCCGCAACCCCATTATTTGGCAGGGCAGTGGTTTTCTTTATTATTACATGATACTCTATGAGTTGTTATACCATGGACTAGGCCCCACCTCCTAAACGATGTACGTATAAATTGTGTATTTTTAATATTAAAATTGTGAACATTAAAATATAAATTGTATTTCTAAATCAAAATACGAGAAATTTGTGAATTACCATACATGATTGTCAAATCTTAATTTATTAATATTGTATAATTGTAGTATATGAAAAGAACTTGAAAAAACAAAATGACAAATTATATACTTTGTATATATTAACATTGTATATTCATAATATACAAATTGCAAACATTTCGACCTAGGCTTATCTTGGTCCACAGAATAATTTGCTGTATTCCTATCCTATGGGTTTCTCAACCTGAATGCTCAACTTCAAAAGTATCATCATCAAGTCCTTACAAAATCTCAATGTTTCATGAGCAATCCACAATACATCGTTTGATTTAAATACATAAGAATGCAGGGTGGGTGATGAGGGTCTTCACTTGCGAACTTTGCTTCTAATGCCCTTCCGAGGTACTTTACATGTATCTCTGCAAGTTTATAACAGTTGAGTAAGAGGCAAGGGGTAAAAAATTCCAGTCTCGTCAACTTTGAAGGACTTACCAAAATAATCACAGATCTATAAGCATGCCTGTCCACTACACAAGTTTCTTTTGGCATGGAGATCCTGCGACAGCATCATTCGTGTTCCAAGCCGCTAATGCACTCTGTATGCAAAACAAGAAAACTTAGTCAACAAAATACACAAAACACGCAGGTGTGGATCAAATTCCTGGAATCTTTTACACTTTTACGCTCTCTTTGCTGATCAATATTCAATACAAGCATCAACCATTATTAGACTCTAGGAAATTGTAAGAGCACTTCAATAAGGCTAGAACAAATAACGATATCTGTGTGTGCAAGTGTAGCAATGAGCAGATGAAAATAAGAATGTACAAAAACTTAATGAATGGATAACCGGCTTGCTCCAGCTATACAAGTCATCTACTCTAGTTCATGTGCCCCGAAGACAAACAGATCACACTTTTCATTTATCACAACATATACTCTATAAAGGCATTTTGATAAGCTATTATGCAGCTTCACTTTCCTAGGTGGAGCCGTTAACTAAAGGCTTTTTTTACTCATCTCATTACTGAAACTACAGGGCACTTTATAGTTTGACTTTCTGATTGCTAGGAAGTGTTCTATTACACAAGCGCAGCTACTTTAGTTGCAGTCATACATTCTCTAGATATAACTGGTAGGTACATACCAACCATTAAAACCACCCCTTTGCTCTTTTTTTTTTTTTTTTTTTTTTTTTTCAAAAAAGGATTTCTTTTTCATTGATAAGTACATATTCAACTTCTTTTCAGTATGATCCTGTTAGCTAAACAATACTCGAAAAAAACAAAGCATTCCACTGATTATTCAACTCCTACATATAATAAAATTTCTACCTAAAACACTGAGGAGTTACCGTTGTTTCTGCATCAAAAGCAATATCATTAAGGTCAGACCCCGTGCGCAAGGCTGCCACAATATGCAGGATTTGGAGGATAAATATGCAGGTAACCTAAACTCTAATTTCCAAACAGGTTTTCAAGGCTTGAATCATGGCCTAACTGTCAATGATGATAACATAGCTGGAAGAGCAAATCCAGCCTTTCACCATAGAATCATTCACATATGACAGTTATCACTTTAACCAGGTCCCATGCATGTATATAAGGCAGTATCACCTATGCAATGACAGAACAAGCAGTTATGAGACCTAAAACGTGAAGAAATATAACTTCACAAAGTTGGACCTAAAAAGTCAGCAATTAAAGATGAAAGAGGCACTACTCACCATAGTTTGGAAGATCAAGAAGTGTTGGCATAGAAACAGACAGCAGTTTCTTTAGGTTTCACTCTTTCCCTTCATATGAAAATGCTACATGGCAAATAATTACACTCTTAGGTTTGTATTTTGAACATCATATTCACTTGTGACATTTGTAACTACCAAGTTTAGATGTATTTTGAACATCATTTTCACTTTTTATGGCCGTACAGCCCCTTTTCACCATGTCACTCTGCAAGAAAAGAGCTTCATCTGTATTACCAAGTTCATAATATTTTCTTATGAGACACTGATAAATAATACCATCGGGAGAAACGCCCTTCTCAATCATCTCATCAAGCAAACATCTTGCTTGCTCCACTTGACCATTTCTTGAAAGACCACAAATCAAACAGCTATAGGCAAGAAGATCAAGCTGAATACCGTTTTCAATCATTCTTTTCTTCAAAAGCAAGGCATCTTGAACATTTCCCTGCTTCATGTTTCCATCAATCAGAGATGTATAAGCCGCTTTATCAGGAAGCATACCTTTGTCAAGCATTTCATCAAAAAGGTTTTTAGCAGCCTCTAGAAATTTATTTTTACAGAGACCATCAATAAGTGCTGTGTAAACCATCAGATTAGGTTGCAAACCAATGTTTGGCATATTATTAAAATGATCAATTGCTTCCTGAACAAACCCTGAACTACACAAACCATCAACTACTGCACAATATGTCACTACAGTTGGGGCAATATTTCTTTTCTGCATCTCACTTAGCAGGTTGCGTGCTTCTGTGGATTTTCCAGCCTTAAACCAAGCATCAATGAGTGTAGTATATACGACAGAAGTTGCTTCTATACCTTGCCCCTCCATTTCATCAAAAAAAATCTTTGCATCCTCAAACTTTCCTTGGTTGCAAAGACCCCATACAATAGTTCCATAGAGTAATACATCTGGCTTGATACTCTTTTCCTTCATTTGTTCCAAAATGTTCATAGCATCTTCTAACCTTTTCGATTTCATATACCCATGTGCAAGAGCAGTATATAATTTTTCATTAGGGATGATCCCATCTTTTAGTATTATTCTAAAAACTTCTTCGGCATCTCTAAGCTTCCCTTCTTCACAAAGGCCATCAAGCAATGCCGTGTAGCTAACTATGTTCAACTCAATCCCCACTTCTAACATCTCTTTGACTAGGTTCAAAACTTCGCCCATTTTCCCTGCTTTGCAGTTTGCATCAATTAAAGAAGTGTAAGTGAACTCATTGGGAATGAGACCGACTCGCCTCATGTCAATAAAAAATTTCATTGCTTCTTGCAGCATCCCTTTTTTGCAGAAACCATCGACAAATATGCTATAAGTCACAACATTGGGTTTTAGACTACTTTTCTTCATCTCATTCATATAGTTAAATGCCAAGTCCATTTTGTCATATTTACAAAAGCAATTAATCAAAGTATTATATGTTACTACACATGGAGGGCATCCAGCTTCCTTCATTTCCTCATACATAGAAACCATTTCCTGAAGCTCCCCTAGCTTTCCAGTCCCATCAATAAGAGAATTATACGTAACAACATCAGGATTAACCCCGTTCTCTTTCATCTGTACAAATAATCTTCTTGCAGCATCCAAGTCCCCTTCTTTACACAAATAACCAATCATTATATTATATGTATAAACGTTAGGAGAAGGCCCAGCAGCAATCATATCCTCAAAAAACCGCCAAGAGAAATCTTGATCTCCTGCCTTTACAAGTCTATCCAAAAGATGATTGCAGGATCGGGTTTTCGGAAATACTCTAAAACTTCTCATCCTTAAAAAGCACCCATAAGCATCCTCTAGAAACCCCAATTCAACCATAACACTGAAAAAAGCATCAAAGATCCCATAACCTGGAACACAGACATTCCTAGTTGACCACAGGATATCAAGTATATCAGAACAAGGAATTGTGGCCTTGTTCCCATTATTCAAACTAATCAATTCTTTTAGAACACTGCTCGCATCATTGTACATTCTTGAACAAAACAAAATGTGAGCAATCAGACAATAACTCTCTGTCGTATGACGAAATGAACTCCGCGTTTTTGCCCAATTAAACAAGTTAAGAGCTAACCTAGGCTCTCGTTTCAACTCCACCAGGATTCTGGAGACCCAAATGGGAGCTAAAGCAGAGTCGAAAAGTCGCAATATTCTAGAATCATCCCACTTACCTTCACGCACAATTTTCTTCATCGTTTCGTCATCGAAGAAAATTCCGTCAAAAGTAGTGAATTTGGCGTTTCTGGCAAATGGGCATTGGAAAAAGCAAAGGAGATCACTAAAAAATATCAAAAAATTGTGTGAAAATGGGCTTACGCGGTGAGAGTTGCTTCTGTGTCTGATACGCAATAACCTTTGGAAAAGAAGGAACATTGTTCGAGCAGCGCTGAAGCAACAATATTGGCTCTATTCATTGGCTCCATTACCGCTCCAGCTATAAGCATTCATCCTGCGAAACGGTGCCGTTTCGAGTGTTGCTAATGGAGGCTTAGGGTTTAGGGCTTTAGGCTCAGTTTCAGACTTTGAGGTGCTGGTAATGGAGGTTTTGGTGGTTTTCCGTGGGTTTGACCCGTTTATAAAACGGGTATTGGACTCCTCTGCTAAGCACGTTCCTCTTAGGGCACCCGTTAAGGAGGAAAATTTTGAGCATAAAAATAGGATCGTTATGCACTGCATCCGTATGCACCATGCAAAACGATGTCGTTTTATTAAAAACGCTCATCCCATTTTTTTAAAAAAAAAATTTCAATTTAGATTCCCCTCAACAACACTATGTTGTTCATAGATTTTGGAATTTTAGTTCATTGATTATGAAATTTTAGTTTATAAATTCTGGAATTTTAGTTCATTGATTATGGATATTTAGATGTGAATCGAAACTGATTTTTTTTTCATTCATGCTGGATATTTAGTTCATTCATTATGGATATTTAGTTCATTCATTCTGGAATTTTAGTTCATAGGTTCTGGAATTTTAGTTAATCGATTCTGAAATTTTAGTTCATCGATTCTGGAATTTTAGTTCAAATTATGTACAATATAATGTTGTTGCTGGAAATTGAAACTGATTTTTTTTTTAAGTAAGACGCGCGTTTTTAATAAAACAACGACGTCGTTTTTGCATCCGTATGCACCATGCATGATGCATACGGATGCACAGCATAATTTGCCATAAAAAAAATGTTTTTACCTTTACCTAGGTAAATTAAAGGTAAAAACCTTGGTTTAGAAAAGTTGTTTAAGAGCATCTCCATGAGTATATTTAGAATGGTTTTTGTTCGATGTTTGAGGGTAGCAAGCTTAGGTGGAGGAAAGAAGGGGTGGAGAGTGAAAAATAAAAATTCTCCTAAGTCCCACTATGTGTAAATACTAAATATGCCTTGTATTTGGTCGCGTGCGGAGCAACTATAATGCCTAATCGGACGCGTTAATATGATTTTTTTTTTTTTTTTTTGGTTTTCCAGATTTGTTTTCTTTTTTCCTCCCCTTCATCTTCTATTTCCTAAAAACTCCTCAAAAATCACAATTATAGGAGATGCTCTAACTACATATATGAGATTTTACAATAGTGTATGCTTAAGAGTGAACCTCATGGTTGATGTTAGGAGTGTGCATTGAAAGCACCTTACGAGATGTGTTGATTTTAACCACCTCTTACATACTTAATTGTAGCACCTATATTGCTTAATCTTTCGGTGATTATCGAAAGGTTAAGCACCTTATGATGCTACTTTTAAGCACTTCTCGTAAGTCGTAAGGTGTTTCCAATTAACATCTTACTGAAAGATCAAATATTTATAATAATATTTATTACGGAGTATATTATTATAATAAAATATATAATTATAATAATATAATTTATTCTTTTAAAAATAAATAATGTAATTTATTATCATTAATATCATTAGAAATAATGTTGTGTGAAAAAGATAAAAATCAAATGGCAAAGTAGGTAAAAGACAAGAAAATCTCACAATACATAAAGATGTTGAGGAAATCACATTTTCTTTCAAAACATGAAAAAATCTAACATGGAATATATATATATATATATATATATATATATATATATATATTGATATTGTCAGACCATGAGGTGTCCTGAGCAGATCCTAGTATGGAAAGTATATTTGATATCATGAGAAATTTACATAACTACAACCAAACGTAAGAATGTTACATAACCAACCAAATAGAACCTTTGTTATTTTTAATAACATGGTCCAAAACGACGTATAAATTGTGTATTTTTAGTATTGGAATTGTAAACTTCTAAAATATAAATTGTGTTTCTAAGTCAAAACACATAATACAATTGGTCATCAAATCCTAATATGTTAATATTGTGTGACTGCAGTATCTGAAAGGAACCTGTGAATACAAAATAAGATAATCAATTTTTTTTTTGAATGCTACTGGCTCTATTACAATGTATAAGATAATCAATTACTTCCTTCGTCCCATTTTATGTGTCTGGTTCGATTAACGAGCATTGACTGGAGTTATTTTTAATCCAATTTTTCATAATATTAAGTTTAGTATTAGTATACAAAATTTATATATTTATAAACTACATTAAAGGTACTATTAAACACACAAAATCAAATTTAAAAATAAGTAAAAAAAATACTAAAGAAAATAAATAAAGAATAAAGAGTTGGTTTGACTAATGAATAGTAAATATGAAGATAAAATGAGACAGATAGAGTACCTATATATATGTTACAAATTGTGAATCCCAAAAAGAATGTCTACATCAAAAATTTAAGTAAAAGAGTAGAAGTTGATAATAGAATTAGAGAATTCAATTAAGTATCATTTTCCTTCTAAACATGTGGGATGGGCAAGCATGACTCGTGTTCTAATGTGGGCTAGCGCATGCGCACAACACAATGCCACATTAATGCCATACCAACCCCATGTAGGTATGAGTCGAGCCGACATGACACAACCCGCTTGACATCACTAGAGTGGATGGAGTAAGTATATCACCCAATCACTCTAATCATTCTTTCAAACATGAGCCTCAATTATTTAGAATAAGTCACGAGTCGATAAAAATAAAGAATTTGTGACTTGTAGGGATTTTTTTTTATTAAGAAAAGAGGAGTATGAGGTGGAATAACATTAGTTAGGGGTGAGAGAGGAGTAGATTGTAGTATAATTGGAGTGAATTCGCATCTAATCCGCTAAAAGTGAATTTGAAAAAAATCATCCTCTAGGGTTATAGATCCGATCCAATTCAATTTGATTTGTTAATAGCGGATGTGACGGATTGGATGCAGATAGAATGTGTACTTTAAGTTTAAAATAAAATAAATTATAACTATAAGATTTCAAGCATTCAACAATTAAAACCACAAATTTTCAAGCATCTCACTAATTTTTTTTTTTTAAAAAAAACAAATATTCAATTTTAAAATATAAATAATTAATTTAAAATTCAAATTACAAATCTTCATTCATCTTCAGTAGTGTTGAGTTTGTGATTGTAACACCATAAAGAAAAACAAATCTAACTTGAAGAAAAGATAGTTTGGCAAAAAGTTAGAAATGATAATTGAGAAATAGATCTAAAACCCTATGCCAAGTGTAGAAAATTTAAAATTTATGATTGAATTATAATTTCAGATTTGGGCTATATACATCCGTCGTAAAACACTCAACAGTGGACTACATTAGTAGAGTTGTTGAATTTTAAAAAGTCACATCCACATCCAATCCACTAGTAACAGATTCATTAAATAGATGTTTATCTTATCCGCTTTAAGTAGATGTGGATGAAATATTTAACCCATTTTTGCTCACCCCTAACATTAATAATTGTAGCCAACTGTGATTTTTTAAAAATAATGGTTCATTTTGACATACCTATCTACGATCTACCCAATATATATATATATATATATATATATATATATATATATATATATATATAAAAGACTTTAATTTGCCATCAAAATTATAATTTCTCTCTCTTTATTTATTTATTTATTTATTCTTTTGTTTACTTTTCCAAGTGGAATTCACTTTTTCTTTTTGGAAAATGGAAATAAAGAATTGACGAAAAAAGGGGAAAAAACCCTTAATATTATGAGACTGTCTCACGGGTTTCAGTCTGTAAGACCGACCGGGTCTTTGATTAATAAGGTCAAAAATTGATATATTAATTAAAGATTTAACCTATTAATCAAAGATCGACTCATTTCAAAGATTGAGACTCGTAAGACGGTTTCACACAAGTGTTACTCTAGTATTAAAGTGCAGTTCTCTGGAGATTGACTTTGATTCTATCTCAAATCAATCGTTATACCCTGCATCACGGCGCACATAGCACTGTGCGCCTCGCGCCTCCCAAAGCGACGTCGTTTTGGAAGGCGCGGTAGGAAGTTGACGTGATTATGTGTATTTATTTATACAATTATATGTATTTATTTATATAGTTATGTGTGTTTGTTTATACAATTATGTGTATTTATTTATACAATTATATGAAACGACGTCGTTTTGCATGAGGGCGCACAATACAATGCGCGTCCTTGTGCACGATGTAAATTGCCATCTCCAATAGTAGGAGTTAGGTCTTCTTTTAAACCAAAGCGTGACCAACTTTTTATGCACATTTCTAGAACATGGAGAATTCAATTGCGTAGTTAAAGACTACAGTTATTCCTGTCGACATACTTGTATGCAAAAGAGGTGTCAAATAGGATGTTTTGTGCTACGACACGTGGCACCAATCAAACTAATCCTAATTATAATTATATAAATGTCAATTCCAGTTAGTGAAGGGTCAATTATCAACTCTCAAATAATCAATTATTATTATTATTATACCATATGCTTTTCATTTCCACTTCCTCAGTCAACACTCCAACAACCACCACCCACGCCCAAAAGGACAATTATATATCCATTTCAATACCTCACATTATTTTGAGGAAGAAAGAGGATGGTGAAGGAAAAAGTGAGATATGATTTTGGCATTCATCAATTATTCCTTTCTACACCTTTTGTTAGAAAAATGTGTACAAATATGAAGTTGTTGTTGCTCGATAGAATCAAAACCGTTTATAAGTGTTAGAGAACATTTAATTAAGAGAGATCTTTATTTCATAGAATTACGTGTTTAGAATTTATTTGTTTTGTAAATTGAGATAGATGTTTGATTGTTTGGCGATTTACAAGTGTATTGTGCTGTGTTTTGTTTTATATATATTTTTTTAAGTAGACGAGCTTTATTAAAAATAAAAAAGAAAGAACAAGGTCCAGAAAGTTTAAAAATCCAACTCTCTCAAAGACAAAACGAACAAAAGGAAAGCATGCATCTAATACAAGCGAGCAGTCAAAGCTGCAACTACAATGAGCATGGCAAAACATGCAACTTAAAATACGTACAAACTAACAACAAGAATGATAATATAATCTGAAAGTAGAACAAAGTTCAATCAAACAAAGTGACAAGTACGATTATATGGTAAAAAAAGGCCAACAAACAAACACACTAACACACCATGACCAAATCCAACATCGTCCTAACTCCATCATCATGAACACTAGAAGGAACCCAGTGTAGCATTGAACCCACCAACAAAATCAGGAAATAACACTCCAACTCCCAAAAGA